ATTTGTGAAATTATTGGCAATGTATTGTGGTGTTTAAGCAGCTATAGGTAAGGCTATAATAGGATAGAAATGTCAATAAAGTGTATCATTGTAAATGCTTCCTAAGCCTTCCCAGCACTTCTATTATTTATATAGACTTGCTGAGTCTCAGTATATAACCCACAATCTTTTTTTTTTTTTCAGAAGTGTGGAATTTGTTTGCAAGTCCATGCCAGTCAATCTTAAACCCATGAATCATTTCCTCATGTTGTGATGAGAGATTCTATAGCGATAATGTAATATTTAAAAGCCTTTTACATCCTGCTTGCTTACCCTGCTGTCAGCTCCCAAGCCTTCTTCTCTGGAAGTGAAATATAATTGCCAGCTATTTCTTTGTTGTCACTCTGTGCTGGTGACTGCTACTGTGAGCTTTCTAAGAATTGTACTTTGATTAATCCTCATACAGCCTTCAGTTCAGAATAGAACTGTTCTAATACATTCTGCAAATTGTACACTGAGGGCAAATTTGCTGCTTTCCTACTGGGTTTTCTTTTTCCTTCTTCTTCATCAACAGTGTTAAAATAAGCTGAACCTGATTGGTGTTTTTCCAATGTATATTTTACTATAGCTGTGTTCTCCAAAGATAATATGACCATATTTTTGGATTATTTGCATTACATTTATTTCCTTTCCTTGTATTTCCAGCAAGAGGTACTTGTTTTCTTGGTTTGTTAGGGATTCATCAGTGTTTTCTTGGGAAATAAAGCTGTTGTGGAATTCAGCTGCCTCCAGGTGAAGTCTGGTATTGCGGACTGACCACATAATGCAGCAGTCCTTTATGAAAGCCATTGCATTTTTTTTGGTCAGGCTCCTGTCTGCCAAAAAAGGGAAGCAACAGAGTTGCTATTAGAATGGGTCCCAGTCATATACATTTCCAATTTTCTTGGAAGCCTCATAAAACTGTTGATAGGTGCTCATAAATCAAGGACTCCTTTCCTTTAACAACACGAGATTTGGCCATCGTTTCTGTTTCTAAGTTTTTTTAGATGTTTTTTTTATGCTGCTGCTTGGAAATACTGCAGTGACTTCTGTTGTGTTGCTCGCTAGGTAATTTTGTGTCTTAAAAAATGGGCTGCACGGTTGACCTTAGCGGGCAGACTTTCCACAGTGGCTTTAGGCTGCTTTATTGATAACAGCTGTTAAAAGATGTCATTGATAGGATAATGAGAATACAGCCAGTTGTAGAACACCTTTCTGATAGAACAAAGGCTGCAGTTTAGCCGAGTATTTCCTCCAGGGCACATAAACTCTGGGTATTGTAATTATCTTGTCTCAGACTTTCTTTTTTTTTCATTTGTTTGTAATTGACCAATGTTACATTCAATTTACTGAGTGCTGCTTAATTTTTCCTGCTACTTTTCATGTAACTTTGGGATTTTAGTTTACGTTGCATCCCTTGGGTTTCTCTGTCCCATTTTCCAATATTTATTTATATTTTTATGTCTAAAAGTATAATTAGGTGGAATAGTTTGCATCATACGCCTTGTGTTATTCCTGCATAATTGCTGTCAGTCTTGTCAAGGAATTTTTTAAACACCTGGCAGACATTTTTTGTTCAAAGTTATTTCAGCCTCCTGCCTGGATGTTGAAAGAGTCATCACGTCAATCTCAGGAAACAATTTGATTTATACTGCATAATAATATATCTCATGTCTCCTGCCTGGTATTATTCTCACACTTTATTAAGCTGCATTGCAGCTAAACAAAACCTAAAGTAAACGTTGCTATACGATCGCATCTTTTCTACAGAGAATATAACAGGCAGGCCTGCTTAATGCACATGCTATATACATTTTTGTACAAATATCTATTGTGCAGTATTCAAATTAAATAGTATTAGAAATAAATAAATACCTAGTGATATTGCTAGTGACGGCCACTTCCGGCAGAAGGGTGACAACACTGCAGTGAATTCACTGCAGAATTGTCACCTTCAGCAGCTTCTCAGGGGCTGTGTCTTCATACATGCTGAGGAGGAGGGCAGGCAATCCAGCAGGATGCCCTGTGTATGGAAAAAATGGTGCAGGGCTCCTTCTTAGATCCTACCTCCCTGTTCCGACAGAGTAAGCCCTTAGTGACACCTGTGATGATTGGATGGCACAGGGGCAAAGAAGAAGATATCTTTATTTGTCAGAACAGGTAAAAAAAAAAAAGATTGACCTTTATTGGATAGAGAGCTACCAGGGCAAGAAAATTGGAAAAAGATATTTTGTACTGCTATATCTTGTACTGTTGGAAAATGGTAAGCCTAAAGGGTATCTAAACCCAAAACCAACAATGATCACATGTGCTTGCTGCATTAGTTTTCTTTTTGTAGGTTTTTTTACTTTATTTTCACCTGGTGATCCAGCCAGTAAGTCTGTTATTTTTCAACTTCCTTTAGCAGGCTGTCCTCTAAAGGAGGGTTGAGACAAACAATTTAACAGTCACAGGGGTGCTTACAATGGTCAACTTTTATTCATTTATGTAAATCCTTTATCCCAAAAGGAAACAAAAAAACTGTTGCTGTAACTGCATATAAAGTGTTAGCTGGAGTTCAGATTTAATTTGTTAGCCAAGTCCATTTAAATCTGTTAACAATGCCCTCCCCACAGGCTGACAATGCTGCTGTTCAAGGCTGGCTCCATTGCTCCTCCATGGAGTGGAGCCACCCTAAAGCTACCCATACACCTTGCGATCATCGGATGAAACTTTTCGTCCGATGATCAAACTGTCGTACGATTTTTGTATGGCGGCCCCATCATGCCCCGATTATCGCAAGGTTCAATCAGCAGTAATTAAAGAAAGCACCTAGACAAATTGCAGTAATCGACCGCACGTATTTTCGTTTGCGCACGAGCAGTGTAAAACGTACGAATTTTGACGTATGGAAACGCCACCAACCTTGTGAAAATCGTACAATTGACCGAAGTTTTGTAACTTGCTGGTTAGTCAAAAGTCGATCGATTGTACAGTATTTACGGTTGTACACTGCCCATCAACCTTATGAATATCGGACAAAAACGCGATCGCATACGAAAACCAGCCGATATTCATAATGTGTATGGGCAGCTTAAGACAGAAGGTGTGTATTGCTATCTGTGTACCTGCTGGGTAAATTTACCCTTTCTTTTTCCTGGTGACCAGTGTCCCTAACACAGTGTTGTGAAATCTAAAATTTCAGTTGTAACCATAAAGGGGATAGAGGGGAAATCTTCCAATGGTTCCAGTGACAATTGTTTAAAAGAGAAATATCGCCTCTTCTTCAAGAGATTTTCTCTTACTTCCTCTGTCATCGATAGGACAGGAAGGGAAGTTTGAAAATCTCCACAAAAAAAAACAAAACGACTCGGGTTTTAAACCTCCCATACTCCAAAACGATAGAAACATTTTAAAAAATCACAGTATATAAAGTGGTTTCTGTGACCTAGCCCCCCAAAAAAGCTAACGGTGCAGTATACAGAAAAATAATTGTTTCCGGAAGTAATTAATGTAATTTTAACTCTACACAAGATACAATGAACATTATCTATAATTTTATGAATTTTTATGCTTGCCCTTGATTAAGGTCTATGTTTAATGACATGCTTAAGCAATTAACCTAGCCTTAATTACTAGTGTTGGTATACAATATGGCTAACAACATAAATTACAGGTAGAGGGTGCCATAAAAATGCTGTGCTTAACTACATGAGTGTGATAATATGGCATTCCGGAAACTTTTTATGTCCCGTTGTAGCAAGCCTACTGTCATTAGACAACAATCACTACATTTATTGCATGCTTTAAAAATATCTCCTGACATTGCTCATACTGGACACACAATTTTTCTTGTACAGAAAGTAGTGAATACATATCCCATGCATAAACAGATGTTAAAATGTGTTTCACGCTAGAAAGTTTTGTTTTAGAGTGGGGACGGGTTACTACCTCTACCAGGTTTTCACTGCTGTCCAGGGCTCCATTAGGGCAATTTTATTACATTGATTCCAGGACAGGAACTGAGGGAAAATCTCCAACAGGGACATAATAAAAAACAGAGTAGAGTAGGGGAAGGTTAGAATCCCCATAGTTTTTTTTATTGCAGTCTGTATCCAAGATTTACTCTTCTTGTCTGCTGAAGCTTTGATTAAGGTCACACTTGGCATTAATCATAGTGCTGCAGTGTGGCTGGAATCCATAAGCATGGTTACTTTTATGCTCTGCATGTTATTTGAATAAGTTACACCTTAGTGTGTGCTGGCATTTTTGATGGCAAGCACAAATTTGTCAGAGTGTTGCCATTCACTGTTCTTTTCAGCAGTCCTAGATGAGTCAGCGTTAGTAGCTATTGTTGTGCTTATGTACCTTAGAGGCATAGGATGGGCATAGACTTTCATGCACAGTCGGGTGTATGCCTTCGGGCTCTCCTGTCCTGTGGCTTGACTAAATGTTCCCATTGACTTAAATGGAGAGGGATGGAGAAGAAGATTAGCTGTACTGGGAGTTGTTGCCAGCAATGGGGCAATAATGATCGGTAAATAATTTCTAACCCTCCTGATCAACTGTGGCTGGGTAGAAGGGTCCAAGGGATGTCATGACTGCATCGGGAGATCATAATGCATGGGCAACTTACAGTATACTATAGACATTGCATAAGAAATGTTTAATTTAAATAATACCATTTATTAGCTAAGGTAGGTTATTAAAGATCTAGACTTTCCAAACGTGTTACTTTCCTTCCTCCAGCATCATACACTTCCATTTCACCTGTTGTAGGACCAACAGTGCTGTGCTCTGATATTGCAGTACAATGTAGATTCATTCAAAGATTTCCAGCCTTGCTGTTTTAACATTATAGTGATGTAATGTGTTAATGCTGATATGTACATTGCAGATTCATGTAAAGTGTGAATTTTAATGCTCACTTTAAGTAATAGTGATTCACATAAGATTGAATGTATCTATAATTCTGACCAACTTGCTTCTGCCTTCTTTCCTAGGAAGTGTGTAGAGAGCTCTGGTGTCTGAGCAAAAGTAACAGATGTGTTACTAACAGCATTCCTGCTGCTGAAGGGACCCTCTGCCAGACTGGAACCATAGAGAAAGGGGCAAGTCCATGTTCTTTAATTTCCTCTTTACAGGATGAAAAAAAAAAAGTGAAAACATGAGGAATAATATTAACATAGAATTAGCATGTGTTACTTTCAAATCTACTATCCATATTTTCTGTAGTTAAACTTTGTATATGTTTTGATCTTACCTTCCATCCATTGATCTATCGATCCATTCATCCATCTATTCATCCATACATGAATGTCGGCAACTGCTTGCAGTCAGTTTTTACATTTATCCCAACATTCAGCCCAAATAATGAAGTCAGTCTTTGATTAGCCCTCTCATAATGGGTAGGAGATGCTCCATAAGGCAAGAAATTTGGAAGGTTCCTAAGTGTTCCTTTAAATTATTTTAATTACAGTCATGATGGAAGAAATCATGGATTTGTTTAAATTTGTACTAACCAGATGCAGATTCAATGTAAACTGTCTACCTAAAGGCAGGAAGATATTAGATGATCCTTACCTGACATAGTTACATAGTTAGTCAGGTTGAAAAAAAGACACAAGTCCATCGAGTTCAACCTAACAATATCAGAACAGTTGTGTGTTGGTAGTGACTTCTGTAGGTACTCTCACCAGATGAATGAAGCCTGCAGTGGGTATTCTATTGGTTGGTGCTGATGAAATCTGCAGAGCATTTCGATTTTTATAATTGTGCACTGCGAACCTGCTTACATCTGCCACTTTTTTCCTGATCCCATTATCAGCTTATGTACATAGTCAGCTTAAAGAATTACTCCACGGAAATGACAAGAGTACATAACCTCAGTATAATTTTAGAGAGATAAAAGAAATGTGTTTGAAGGTGTGCCCATGTCTGTTAAAAGTTGTAGCTGTAAAGCTTCTTTCCTTCCTCATGTTATAGCTGATAGGTCTGAACCAGGAAAAAACTAAACTCCTATGATGAATTCAAGTAGTTTGTGATCACAATCGCATGTTTTCCAGGGCTTTTAGCACCTGGACTTCAAATTAGTTGGCTTGTGTCGAACAGCCCAGCTTCTTTAATGGCTATGCAATGCAGGGTGCCTGGTTTGGGAACTCTGTATACCAAACCAGACTATTGTCGTAGCTGCCACTTAGCTGCTCTATGTTATTGCTGGTCCACCAGCCTGTGTAAATGAGCCTGCATACATTGTTTGAAGGCTTCATTAATAAATAGAACACATTTTGTTTTAAATCATGTAAAAAGTTTTCATACCTTTTGTTTGTTTTTGTAGTTTCACATTTAAAAAATCTTTAATGAAATGATTTTTAAAACAACTTTTGTACTGTTTTAATTTATTTTTATTTTCTTAAACAACGTTGCCATGCTTTTAGCCATTCTCTATTATTTTAACATAAAACAGGATACACTGCAGTATAACATTTAACTTTTGCAAGCTGAGATAAAGAGGACAATTTAGAATAATTATAACGGTTGATTGCAATGTCAGAAAAAACCTGGCTCTATTTTATCATGCTCACTACACCGGTTTAACCATACCTATTGAGCCATGCCCACGTATGATAAGCCACGCCCACTTTTACCCAAACTGCAACACCTCTACCTCTCCATTCAGTTTTTCTTGGGCCAAAAGGTGGTTACTGTAGTTAGTGAGATTAATTTAATAATTCAATGCATCCTCCGTTTAGCTGTTTAATTAAAGCAAGGTTCTTCTTTGCCTTGGGACAAATCAGTTTTATAAATGAATCTACGTAGTTGGTAAGTGATCTGTAATGAGACTTTACCAAACAACTAGTTGATGGTGGGATGTATTTTACAAATGGTTACTAGTGCTGTAAAACTGACCCATGAAATAGAGCTGCAGACTGGATTTGTATCAGACAATGGCCACTGTCATCTGGTCTTAGCATTGACTCCTGCTATATTAGTCAGGCTATTTTCAACAAAGATTATACTGCACTTTGATTTGCAAGCTGATGTTTGAATAAAGAGAATGAAAGCTTTTAGGCAGCTGTCACACTTTATTAATCCTTGCTGACGGCTTCATTCAGAAACCCTGACCTGCTGTCACTTAAGAGTGGCTTTTCCATGCCGACTTGAGATACTGTTTGTTAGCATGACTTACCGAATTGATTGTTCATTAAAGGGACATGGTCAACAAAATAAAATGGGGGGAATTTATCAAAACTGGTGCAGACAAAATCTGGAGCAGCTGTGCATGGCAACCAATCAGCTTCTCTCTTCAGTTTGTTCAGTTAAGATTTGAAAATGAAAGAGAGAAGCTAATTGGTTGCCATGCACAGCTGCTCCAGATTTTGTAATGAATCCTTGATTTGATAAATTACCTTTCAATGTGTTTAAAATTAAACACTTGAGTAAACCTTTCCTGTAAAAAAAAACGGTGACTGCCAGTTGCCTGACTGTTATGCTGACCCAATGGCTTCATCATTTTTGAATCGCTGATCCAGACCAATTGTGCAAAGAAGGAAAATCAAAGTGAAGTCAGAAGTCTTTCTCTGCATACTTGTTCTAGGTTAGTGTTTTGGGTAGGGCTGCAACAACTAATCGACATAATCGATTATAATCGATTATTGGAAAAGTTGTCAACTTTTTCAATAATCGATTAATAGGTACCGAAACAAGAGCGTTAATCTAATAGGCAACTTGCATTTTCACAATGGCAGCCAGCATGTTTCTCTTGCTAAAGGTAATAAAGAGACCCTGTCACCCTGAACTGTTAATCATATCAACATATGATAATCATAAGTCAGTATGTTGAGGAGGAACTACAGGAAATGCCTCCGGTACCCATAGCCACGAGACAATGGCCTGATCCACCCATTTTTTGCACAGAATATATTTGTTTATGAGTGGTTGAACAGATTAGAAAATCCCGAGTGCTACTTTTCCCCTCTAATTGGCTTCCTTCCAACCCCTTCTCCTTTCGCTTAAACTTTAAGCTCAGCAATGCTGAATTTAGAGGTTTATGGAGCACTTTGCAATACTCTGTGGATTTCAGTGACAGATTGGGAAACAATGTAATGGTTATAGAGCCAGGCTGACTATCACTAGCCAGCCACTCTCATGAGGTATTTTCAGTTGGACAGGTTAGAATACTTGTGCTGATGATTATCACTGATGGCTTTTAATTCTGGTAACATCTGCTTGTGCCACTCTCCTGCAATATAGAGAGGGGGCTACAAAACAGTAAGATTGCACAGCCCTAAACATAAATTCTTCTATAGAAGCTCTTGTTCTGTGCAATGCTCTTCCTGGGGAAAGAGAGATACATTTCAGGTCTCTCTGTGCAGTTGTACAGCATCAGACCATGGTATCTCAGAGCTAATGGAATAATGTAAACTTTGTCCTCACAGAAGACTGCAAAGCAAGGCCAGGAACCAATATGTGTCCTGCGAAACTCCCTAGCTCTGTGATGTCATTTATCTGCTAAATTGCCAATATGCAATGAACATCCACTTACCGCAGATCTCCACTATCCAGGTCTGAGCCTGTTTACCTACTCATCACTTTAAATACGTCTTGTGTTTTTGCTTTTATATCCCCGATTGCTGACCTTTACGTATGTTGTATGCAAATATACATTGTCAGTATGCTCAGCACTGATGTTTTAGTTTTGGGTACATGCAGGTTTCATAACTGACTAGTTTCTCATGGAGGGACTCCAGTCTCATGCAGGTGCCAAGTCCGGGCACTTTAGATGTCCATTTATTTGCAACCATTGTAAATTGATCTGATTTTCTGTGTTAGAATTTTCATTTATTAGGCTCAATTCATGATGTTTTAACACAGGGATACGAATCTGTAATGTAATTATAAAAAATTATTGGACTCATTCAAACATAATTGCCACATGTATAAAATGGATTCTCGTCCTAGTGTGTTAGCTTTGTGAATTGATCATACTGTGTGTTATGCAGAACACATGGTCAAAATTGAGATTCCAGGGTGATGTTACCAGAGACAGTAACTTTACTGGAGAGACTTTGGGGTTGATTTTCGAAAGACAAAGAGGCTGGTTACTTTGTAAGGGAATCTTACCTTAGGTAAGTGAACAGGGTAAAGCTCTGCTTGACTTCCATCATGCAATCATGTGCAGGCAGAAATACTGTTTTTTTTCTATTTTCCTTGCACATGATTGGGTATTCTTTGCAAAGTGAATTTTTGCCACATTCAATAAGCTATGGGAAAATTCCCTTGCAAAATTAACACCCAATTTGCCTTAAGAGAATCAACCCCACTGCCTTTAAAGTACTCCAAACCTATAATCAATGGACAATGAAGCTTACTGTTTTAAATTAAATTTACGGAAGACTGTCTGACTTAGAGAAGAATGTCTCTGCAACATTATCTAGCACGTTAGTGCTGCCATAGTAACATGTAGACCACATGGAGGGGCGCAGAACTAAAAACTTAAGTTGTCTTCAAAGTGACACTGTCACTTTAAAAAAAAAGGTGCTGACAGGTATAAAATGAAGGCACTTTTAGTTTTGGTGTCCCTATTCTCCAACGCTTCCTGGAAGTTTACCTGCTTCCTACCACCCCCAAACATTTCTATTGGCTCATTGCTGTGATGAGCGGCCTACCAGCTAATGCATGGGAGGTGGAAGGGGGCAGGCAAACTATGACACTACCTGGTAGAGCCACAGTTTATTTAATTAGAACAGCATGGCATTTAGACAGATTAGGAAGGGGGGCTGTGAATACTGCTGGAGGTTTGTGCAGGCACCCTTTAGGTACCCGCATGTCATACCAGTCAGTGTTTTTTTTAGTTTTCTATAAGAAAACCCCTTGACAAAATACACTATTGTAAGAACAAGCAATACCATATAATCTTCTTTCCTCTCCTTATTCGTAGCATAATCTTTACCACTTTATTATCAGGATGCTTTTAATTACGGATGCACCGATACCCGTTTTTTGGTATAGATACTTTGCTTTCGGTACTCACCGATACAGATACTTCCTCTGGCATGGATCTGGCTTCCCGGGCAATCAGGAAGCCGGGCGTTGGGTAATGACATGCTGC